GAAACAATGAACTCAAATCAATGGCCCATATGTCTTCAGGGAGGACTGGCTCATGAAGATGTGTGGAGTGGGCCTATGCAGATGCTGGCTCTGGAACTCCTTGCTCTGTCTTTCCTACCAATCCCAGGTCCTCACCTCACGCAGCCTGGGGTATTCCACTCTGGTTTTAACAGGATGATGTAGCACTTGGGGATAAAGATGCTGCCCAGCAACCCTGCGGTGGAGGCCAGGATAGAGAAGATCTCTACAGCCACTGTGGACTTGCCCCGTGCACTATGGTACAGGGGCAGGAAGGTTGTCCAGACACTGCAAAAGAGCAGCATGCTAAAAGTGAAGAACTTAGTCTCATTGAAGGCATTGGGCAGACCCCTTGCCAGGAAGGCCACAGAAAAGGTGAACCCCGCCAGGAGGCCCAAGTAGCCCAGCACACAGGAAAAAGCAATGCCAGAGCCTTCCTGGCACTGGATGACAATGTGGCTAGGTTCTGAGACTGTGTCTCTATCTGGGAACGGTGGGGAGGTGCCCATCCAGACCCCACAGAGAACAACCTGCACTAAGGAGGCAACGAGGACCACCAAGGCGGAGGCGTTGGGTCCCAGGCACATCTGGACCCTGTCCCCTGGTCTGGTGATCCTGAAGGCCAGGACCACGGTCAGGGTCTTTGCCAGGATGGAGGAAACAGCCACAGTAAACACAACGGCAAAGGTGGTCTGGCGGAGGAGGCAAGTGGCAACGGTGGGACGGCCAATGAAGAGCAAAGCAGAGAGGGCACAAAGAGCCAGAGAGGTGAGGAGCATGTAGCTGAGAGCTCTGTTGTTGGCCCTGACCACTGGTGTGTCCCGGTGCTTCAGAAATACCCCAAGGACCAGCACTGCTAGCCCAGCCAGCATGAGTGCTACTGAGGCCAGCATAAGGCCCATGGGCTCCTCAAAGGCCAGGAAGGTCTCTGTCCTAGGCAGGCAGTGGTCTCGGGTGCGGCTCGAGTACTGCTCCTCTGGGCACAGAAGACAATGCTTCATGTCTGTGGGAGACACACAGACCCCGTATCTGCAACGTGACAGTAATGACACCTGCCATGTGGAGGGACACTCCCTATGTACCCTGCAGAATCTTTCACATCTACTAATGTGTTGACAGATTGTTCTGAACTTTCTAGTGCCTGTGGCACAAGAAAAACTACAGCCTACATACATATTTGTATTTGGGCTTTTCAGTGGTTAAATTTTTCCAAGTGTAGCAGTAATAGTTCTTATTAGCAATTGCTATGGGCTGAGTTATGCCTCCTCCCCCCAGTATTCATATAAGTTCTGACAATTAACTTTGTGAACTTGCCATTAGCCATTTATATTGGTATACTATACAAACCACTTAAGAAGGCTTTATAACCTTGATATATCAGTGTCTTACCACTGTGTTCATGTCAACATGTGGCAGTGTCTTGCTGAGTGGAGTTCATAATTGTTTCCCGTTTTTGTTTGCCATCATGAGAATATTAGAACTTGAATTAGAGCACTGAAAAAACATTAAATTTCTTGTTAAACTTGGCAAGAGTGGAAGTGAAATCAGGGACTTTTCAGTCCACATTTATGGGGATAATGCCATGAAGAAAAGGGTAGATATGGATTAAATGTTTTTCTGAGGGGTGAGAAAGTTCCACTGATGAACAGAGGTCAAGGTGGTCTATAAGAAGAACTAACAAAAGCATTGCAAAAATTCATTGAATTGTGCCTTAGAATCATTGGCTTCCTGTGAGAAGCATAACAGACTAAGTAAACATTGATAGAGAAATGGAAATCTTTATGAAAATCTTGGCATTAGAAAGGTGTGGCTCTTGCATTACGATAATGCATCAGCTCACACAGCATTATCTGTGAAGGAGTCTGTAGCTAGTAAACAAATACTTGTATTAGAACAACCTCCATGCTCACCTGATCTGGCCTCCAATGGCTTTTTATTTACCTGAAGATAAAGGAAATATTGAAAAAAGATATTTTGATGCTATCTAAGACACCAAGGGTAATATGATGACAGCTGTGATGGCTATTCCAGAAAAAGAGTTCCAAAATGCCTTGAAATGGTGGACTAAGCCCTAGCATTGGTGCAGAACTTCCCAAGGTGAATACTTTGAAGGTGACCATAGTGATTCAACAATGAGGTATGTAGCACTTTTTCTAGAACAAGTTCGAAAACTTACTTGTCAGACCTCATATGTTGATGTTCTAACCCTCAATACCTCAAAAAGTGACTTTATTTGGGGATAGGTAGGTGGACATGAGGTAATTAAAGTTAAATGAGGTCTTTAGGGCGGGCCCTAATTCCATATGACTAGAGTCTTCATAAGAAGAGGAGATTAGGCCACAGGTACACATGGAAGGGAGATTGAGAGAAAGAGCAAGAAGGCAGTCATCTGCAAGTCAAGGAGAGAGGCCTCAGAAGAACCCAAACCTGCCAACACCTTGATCTCAGACTTCCAGCCTCCATAACTGTGAGAAAATAAATGGCTGTGGTATTTTGTTATGGTAGCCCAAACAGATTAATACTGGAATTCTCACAAATTCTGTCACCCTTCCTTTAGGGATTAAAATTACTGCTCTGAACCACAGTGAAATAGCTCCACACCCCCACCAGAATAGCTGATGTGAAAAGACCTGACTTGATGAATGGTAAGGATGGCCACTATGGAAGGCAGAATAGGGCCCCTTCCCCACAGGTGTCCACACCCTAATCCATGGAACCTGTTATTGGTACCTCACCAGCAAGAGCCTCTTCATGTGTCATTAAGTTAAGCATCAAGATGGGGAGATTATCTTGAGTTATCTGGGTGGATCCACTGTTAAAACACGAACTCTTAAAAGTGGAAAAGGAAGAAGGAAAACAGAATGTGGCAAAAAAAGAGGCAAGAGAGATCTGAAGCATGAGAGGGATGGGATCAACCACTGCTGGCTTTGAAAGTGGAGGGAGCCCATGTGGAAAGGAATTAGGGTTGCTTCTAGAAGCTGAGAAGAACCCCGATGACAACCATCATGGAAATGGGGTCCTCAGTCCTACTACCACAAGGAACTGAATTCTGTCAACAACCTGAATGAGCCTGGAAGCAGATTCTTTTCTAGAGCCTCCAGGAAGGGTTATGGTCTTCCCAGCACCTTAATTGTAGCCTTGTGAGGCCCCAGGCAGTGGACCCTGCTGAAGCATGTTATTTTTTTTTTTTTCTTTCTTTCTTT